TTCTATTCCAAAATATTAAAACTATTTACTATTTCTATTTAATATATCGTAAGGAGGTTAGCTCTGCATTCCACCCTTCATATAATTTGTTGAAGAATTTATGTTTGTTATGGTACTGAAGGAAACTTTAAAGACAGATTCAGGGTAAGTCCACACCACAAATACTATGACACACTGTAGCATAAATAGGGACTACTGTGACAGAAGGGATTTTTCTGTCACTGGAGTAAATCCAACCCTTTATGAGGCAGTAACTAGGTCAGACTAATTCTTCTGTCAATCTCTGTGCATCTACAGTGGGGGTTAAGTCGACCTAATTATTAAGTACAAGGCAAGAAATTTTTCACAGTTCTGAATAATACAGATAGGCTGACCCAAGTTTGAGATGTAGACAGGTTTAATGTAACAGATGCTGATACCCAGAAAAAAAAAAAAATCAGCGATATGAAATGTCCCCATCTTAATGGACTGTCAACACTGAAACCTATAATACCGTTTCATTAACAATTTTAGCAGAAACATCCACTTAGGGCAGGTCTACACAGCAGGGCTAAACTCAAAATAAACTACGCAACCTGAGCTACGCTAATTGCAAAGCTTAAATTGAAATAGCTTATTTCAAAATAGAGCACTGTTCCCTCAACTTCCCTTACTCCTCATACAGTGAGCGTTATAGTACGAAGCCCGTTATTTCGCATTTATTTCAAAATAACAGTTTTGCTGTGTAGATGTTTGAAATAACACTGCTGTGTAGACATAGCCTTAATGTCCTCATTCCATAATCTCAAACTATTCTGTTGCCAACACAGTTGTCAGGAATCCCATCTCCAGATTCCAAAATTTCTTGCTCTGACATCACACCTAGGGATATAAAATCCTAGTTAATCAGTTAACCAATTAAATGTTAGGTTAACTGGTTAAAAATTAGGTTAAATGGGATCTGGGCAGGGGATCACTCCAGCCTAGCTGAAGCAGTCCCCAACCCCCAGCAGAGCAGCCCCGTCTGCAGTGGGCTGGTCCCTCTGTGGACAGAGGCTGCTCTGGACAAGAGCTGCCCCTGTCCACAGCAGACCTCTGAAGGGTTGGATCAGCTCCCTGCCCGCAGCAGGCGGGGAGCTGCTCCAGGCCCCACCAGTTAACCTTTCACATCCCTAATCACACACCCCTAATTTCTACCACACAATTGTGTTTTTATACAAAATTCTGTAGCCCATTTAACTTGTATGTAGACAACATAAAATATAATTTAATATCAAATTAAAGCAAAGGTTACTATACTGAATTAGACAGAGATTCTCCACTGATCAAGCCGATACAGAATTTCCATCTTGTAACATCACAATGTGATGAAATTCAAAGGGGCCTCACTATAGTGTCTCATGGAATTTGGGTCCACTGAGCAAAAATACTACACCCTTTATCAACATTTCACAAAATGATCTTTTAAAAAACATCTCAAACTGCAAAGCTACTTTTTCAATTTACCGTAATTCCCAGAAAAAGTTGACACTGTTTTTGTGTGTGTGTTTTTTTTAAAATCAAGCTTAATGTCCAGAGTTAGAACTAGTTACAAGTACGTCAGAGAAACCTAATCTTAAGATTAGATGTCTAGTAGCAAGTTAAACTCAAGAATAATGTTGCTCTTTCTATGCTCTGGCACTTTACATACGGTTTGTGGGATGAAAAAAAAAATCACTTCACTATTCAAGGACACTTTCGGGCATAATCCAGCAGCCAACAATGCATAGAAACACTACACAAATTTATGAAAGAAAGCCAACAAAGTACCTTATATCAAATTGAAATGGAAGTGGGAATTTAGTGAGGTGCTATATAGTTACTGAAACTGGAAGCCTGCCCAAAACACTGGCATTAACACTTCCATTCTTAGGATCAGTTCCTTACCCTCTTTCAAGTACTTGCCAAGCTTGCTTTTCCCTGAGATCCAATTACAACTCATTGGTCTGCAGCTCATACCACAGACACCGGAGTGCAGAGTTGGTGTTACTGTGCAAACTATAGATTTTAAGTTGGTAGGTAAATAACCTATTATGGTTTACATTTGAACCTGGTGGAACCGTTCCACTCACTTCACTAGGAGTTGCATTTACATACACCAGGGCCAAATGTGTCTCCTTGATGGTGTAGTCAAAGAAAGCAATACTGTACTATACAAGTCTACAGTTCAAAAGAAGTTTGAGTGACAGTCAACATTCAGAGCTTTGAACATCAATCAGAACCCACTATAGAGACAGAAGTGGCAATTCCTAGTTTCTTAATGTTAAAAGAATCTCAGACACATAAGTAGTGCAAGTCTCTTTCTAAAGGGATGTGCTTGACTGAAACAGATCCCTGTGTAACGATAGCAGAGCTCAGATTTATCTAAAGCAGCTGTTGCTCTATATTTAGCAAAACAGACTCCTCACCTCACAAATTTTACTAAAGGTATCAATGAATAGTCAAAGTGGATTCAGAGAGAAAAGTTAATTTAAACCAACAAATTAGAGGATTTCAGAGAGGGTTTGTTGCCCAGTATGAAGCAAGCTGACTTGATTCAACGTCTGTTTTAACTTGGACACCAAAACAGAAGCAGACAAGATAATCCACTCCATAAAATGAACTATGAATGATCTGCAGCATGTAGCTTTACTCAATCTTCATCAAAGCCAAAAGAGCCTTTCCAGTTTTCTCTGAGTAGCTTTCTTGCTAGGCACACAAGTTACTCTAGGTCTCAGGAGTATATCAGTTTGTTTTCAATTAGCCATTGAAGATCTGTGGGTTGCACACTTACTCTGCTTCCCCACAGCATTTTTCTGATGTAGACAATTATGAGTTTTTCTTGTGGTCACAACCTGACTGGAGAGTAGTTGAGGTTGTAGAGCAGTGGCTCCTCCTCCAGGTCCCAGGAGTTGGGCTATGTCCCCTTCTGAAACCAAAAGTGCTGGAGTACCAAGCAGACACTGTGAGTTCCCCACCTTCCTGTGGGTGGTGGGGCTCAGGCTTCAGTCCAGGGTGGCGGGGCTCTATTTGTGGGGCATAGGGTTCTGGGGGCTGATACCAGGCTCCCCACCATGACCCATTCTGCATCCTTCAACTGTGGGGTCCCAGCCACATGGCTGCAGGTGCCATCCCTGCCCTCCTCCCCAACACCTCTGCTGCCTCCCATTCATCCTCCATTGCCCTGTAGCCAGACACAAACCCCATCTTGTTTTTCCACGAACCCCATCTTGTACCCCCCCCCAGAGAGCAAGAGAAAGGCAGTCAGCCTTTGATGCCCTGGGAACGCAGGTGTGCTGCCTGTCCCTGACTCTACCATAAACAGAAACCAGACAGTAAATGGGCGCTGACAACTCAGGGCCTCCTGTCGCCCTGATGGCTAGTACCAGTAATTGACACACCTGCACTGTCCCAGGAGAGGAATCTTCGCCCATCACATACCAGAGGTGCCCATTGTCTGCATTTTCCCAGGTGTAAATTATGCTTTG